AGAATAGGGAGTTAAGGAAGGCTGGAGAAGTTTGCTGTTAGTATAGTTGGGTGGAAGAGCCTGTGGGACAAGGCTAGGTCACCCAACAATCCTCACACTAATTCCCATGCCTGTGAAATGTTTGTTTCAAGAATACCACGGCCACCTTCATACAGCACATGAATAGACTGATGAGAGTCATGACAAGACTGAACAGGACAAGAGCAGAGGATCAAATTTCACTTTAAAATTTAATGTCTAAAAGAACATCACAAAATGTGCCGTTCTTCATAGTCAAAGTAATTAAGATATTTCTGTCGTTATCACTTCTTTTCTAAGATCGATGACCAGGTGAACAGAAACCCTTAGGCATTCCTGTGAATGAAGTGTAAAGCATCTATTCGTCTTTCAGAAAAATTAAAACAGACAGTACGTTTCAATTAGAGCCTGGATTTATATGTGACTCTGTTCTGGTTAATTTCAATTTGGCATAAACTTCAGTCACCTGGAAAGTGGAAACTTCAGGTAAAAATTGCTACAATCTTCCTTGCGTGTGATATGTCTCTGGGGCATTTTCTTGGTCAGTGATTGATATCAGAGAGTCCAGCCCACTGTGAGTGGTGCCACCCCTGGACAGTGGTGCTAGGCAGTACAAGAGGCAGGCCGAGTAAGACACCAAGAGGAATCCAATAAGTAACACTATTCCACAGCCTCTGCTTCAGTTCCTGCCTTGAGTTCCTATCATGTCTTCCCTCAACTTGTAAACTGAAGGAAACCCTTTCCTTCTCCTAAGTTGCTTCTGGTTGTGGTGTTTATCATAGAAACAGAAAGCAAACTAGGAAAGGCTTGTAATTACTGCTTATGGTTAAATAAATGACATCCACATAAAGAATCAAATATTCCTAATTCTCTCTGATCCCTGACCCCGAAAATCCCATTCTATTTAAAACACAGACCCCATGAAATAAAATATTAGAGGGAACAGTAAATGGTGATATTAAAATGGTAGTGAATACTTAGAAATGCCATTGAGAGGGGCTGGAGAGATGGTTCAGAGGTTAAGATCACTGCCTGCTCTTCCAAAGGTCCTGAGTTCAATTCCCAGCAACCACATGGTGTCTCACAACCATCTGTAATGGAGTCTGGCACCCTCTTCTGGCCTGAAGGCATACACACAGACAGAATATTGTATATATAATAAATAAATAAAGATTTTAAAAGAAGAAAGAAAGAAATGCCTTTGAGAGAACTAGCATTTCAGTAGTTGCCTGGATATTTTCTGTTAAAAAAATGCGACTGTACATCTCATGCCAACCTCATTCTTTATTAAAAATCGTGACCACCTCATGAAATTGAACTTCAATAGTTTTACAAAGGTCATAATTTTCATGGGTTTCATAGTATTAAATGTGGCGCTGATCAATATTGGTATTTTTGCTTTATTTACTGCTACTCAGCCCTCTCTGCAGAACTTCACTTTAGTTTAGAAAACTTTTCATTCAACTGATCAGCAACCACAACTCCCCAAGCATCCTATGGCAGTCATTTCTGATACCTTTATATATGGATGCTTTTAGTGATGCTGTTTCCATGCTTGGTTTCACTCAGGTATGGTGTTAATTTCTAAACTAGTATAGTAGAGCATCATTGAAAAAAAAAAAA